GACGGCAGTCCAGGGACGACAAGGGTGCGCCAGCTCTTGGATCGACCGCCGTTCGTCCCGCCCCCGCATTGCTTGTCGAATCTGCCGACCAAGGAACCCAGCAGCATTCCCCCACACCTTCAGTGAATCCCCGCAGAAGCGGCCAAAGCTCCCCAAATCGGCTCCGGTGCGCGATCACAAGATGTAGTGGTGAGGTTGCAGCGGTGTGGAACCCGGGCGGCAGTAGTTCGTGGTTGATCGGCTCCGTGATCCCCGCGTTTGTGACGCACGAATCAGAGAGGAGGGAGCTTGAGCTTGAAGAAAACAGACACAAGGTTCGGACGGCATGACGGATGAGAACGGGGGCTGTACCTGACAGGGAGCTCCCCGTTTGCCGATCAAGAGCCGGATGTGGCAGTTGGAGAAGAGCTGACAGAAGCTTCTGAATGGTGCGCAAGTTCGGACGGACAAGAGCTCACGAGGACCATCCCCACTTGCCCCTCATTATGGGTTATGGTTCAATCTTTTTCGTTCATTCATTTTTTATCTTCTGTTGCGCTGACATGTGCTAACCAAGAAAGAGTAAGACTCATCGTCCTTCGATGACGAAAGGCTTCATGCAACTCATATACGCTACTCCCAATGCTCAATTGAAACCCACAACAAAGTCCGGCCATATTTGCCAACCTGGGGCCATGATGGAAACATTCAGGCTCTTCCAAGAACACCAACCAAGACATCATGAGCTTGGCACCTCACCCTAAGCCCTCGCCCGGAAATCCACCAACGGACCATCCTTCATGCTCGTAAACGTGTCGAATAGCTGGAATTCCGAAACCCTCCTCCTCCCCTCCTCCAGATCCGCCCGTCCCTCAGCCGGGTCAACGACGCCAACCGCCTTGCGCATGTCGTACAGGAATAACGTGCGCGCGATTGTGGTGGACATCTCAGCGTACGCGAGTCCCTTGCCGATACACCCTCTCGCGCCGATCGAAAACGGACAGAACGCGCTCTGCGCCCTCGCCGCGTCCTCCTCGGTCGTCTGCCGTCCGCTGACCGGGTTTGTCGCGCCGACCATCCAGCGCTCCGGGATGTACGAGTAGGCCGAGGGGTAGTAGTTTTCGTTGTGGTGGATGGTGTAGTGCGGCGTTCCGACGACGGTGCCGGCGGGGATGTGGGCTCCGTCGATGGTCATGCCGCCGGCGAGGACCTCGCGGGGGAGGAGGCCGCCGACGGAGGGGGAGAGACGCATGGCTTCGTCGATGCAGGCGCGGAGGTAGGTGCAGGAGTTGAGCGTGGCTCCTTGGCGGATCTCCTCGACGTCGGTGAATTTGCTGCGGACTTCCTCGGTGGCCTTCTTGAGGGCGTCGGCGTTGCGGACGAGGTAGAAGATTGTGGCGGCCATGGCGGTCGATGTGGTGTCGGAACCGGCGATGATGCTGTTTTCGTCAGTATGAACTCTGCTTCAGACACTTGGTAAGAATACTCACAGCAGGTTTGACTCTCCCCAAAGCTCGGGAGTCGAGAAACCCTGGCCCGTCTCGGGGTCGCGCGCCCTGAGCAGGTAGTAGAAGAAATCTCGACGATCGGTGTCCTCGCCCAGCTTCGTTCTCTCCGTCAGCTGTCCCTTGCTGTACGCCATGTACCTCGCGCGACCGGCCGCAATCGTCGGGAAGAGGAACTTGTCGAGCTTGAGCTTGTCGACGATCGGCATCGTGCCGCAGATAAGATGCCTCTTGGTCGCAGCCGCAACCAGATCCAACGCGAACCTGTTATCAGGGGCCTCGAGCATGTGGAATGCCTTGCCGAACGACAGATCACCGAGGATATCCATGGCGAGGTAGTTACACCAGTCAGCCATGTTCTTAGTGGAAGACCAGCCCTTGGCGTCGGGAGAGCCTCCACGGCCAATCTCAGTTGTGAAGGAGCGCACATTGCCGAGGATGTAGCGCTCCATCTCCTTCATGGCGCTGTCTGAGAAGGCGTGGGCGAGAACGCGGCGCTTGCGAGCATGGACCTCCTTGTCGCGCGTGTTGTGTGTATTCGCGGCCGGGTGGACGAAGGCGTTGTAGAATTCGGCTTTGCGGACGTTGGAGCGGAAGCCGTAGATCTCCTTGAGGGATGTCGCGGAGTTGAAAGAGACGGAGTTTGGTCCGAAGCGCACGATTTTGCCTACATCGACGATCAGTCTTCGTTCTGTGAGACCTCGGTGGCCTTGGTAAGGTCTGGGTGCATTGAGAAAGGGTAAGTACGCACCATATTTGCTGTGAAGCTTGTGAAAGTCGAGATGGCGGTCACCCTTCCATGCGTGGTAGAGCTGGTAGCCATCTGTGATCTTTGCGATAAACGGACCTGGGTACTTCGCCAAGGGGTGGAAAAAGATACGGTAGGCGACGATGCCGGCGACCTTTCCTTCTGTCAGCTCGAGCTACATCTTGATGCAGCATCTCTTTCGGGTGATTCTCACATAGAGCACGCCTCCGACGGCGGCGACGCCCAGCCAGAGCCAGATATGATTTGTCTCTGGCGCCATAATCACTTGTGTATGATGATATCCGAATACAATCCTTAAACCTCACTTCCCGACAGACACTGGCAGAAAAAGAAGGAAGATCACGAAGCCAATCCAAAATTACCCGAAGACAACGCCCGTGGGCCATGAGCCATTAAAACCAAAACTCCAATCCCGTCTTTCCCGTCCGTGCCGATAATCTGACATCGTCCCTACGCCATGCCGCAAAAAAGTATCTGAACCCTACCTTCGGCTTTCAGCGGTTCTCAAAGCCGAAGGTCTGCCCCCAGCCATGGCTGACCTTGAATCCTTCGTCTTATCACAGCGCGCCCGCCAACCTTCCTGTTTCGGGACTGTCGGGGCACGTAAGCGGCTAGTCACGGGGGAAAGAGACGTCAAAGAACCGCGGGGGACCGCAGATAGCCTGGCTTACCCCAAGATTCACATCGAAGATGCGGTGGGCTGGGTGGCCTTCCTCTTCTCCCCGCCCCCGCATTCGTTTCGCACTTGGGCATGTGAGCCAACGAGAGACGGTCTGATTACACACATCCCCTGCTGAAAATGGGGAACTTTTAATAAGAACAACCTGGAGTCTGGGGTTGGGGACGTTTTCTGTGGAATTTGGGGAAATTATTCAAAGCCGTGTGTCGGCTTTCGGCTTTGATGGGGTTTCGAATGCGGAGGGATGTCAGGAATTCCGCCATGGGGCCGCGCTTTGTGCTCGTTTGGCGACGGCCCAAGCTTGTCGGAGATGAGACGAGGAGCTGTCAGACTTGGTTATGACGCAATTGAGACATTTGCACCTTCGAAACGGCAATTGTCGATTGTGATGGGAGGTTTTGGTGCTGCAATCTCTTGACATGAGCCAACCGGCTACAGGATGGTAAGTTGGTAAAGAAAACGATTAGAAGCTATCTACCAATGTTCCTGTGCTAAAATTATCCGCCATAGTCATCCCCGCCTCCAGTCGCCTCTATTTTCATTACCAAGGTACCTATGGATCACTACTTACGCAGTGTTCATAAAGCCGCATCGCGTTTCAGTCACCATGTCGACTGTACTAGCGGAGAATACGACTAAGCGCCTTGCGGCCTATGAGCATGAATCTTTTGGTGAGATAGGTCATCAGCCCCAAGATCGGACTTCCACCGGCTATCTGCCTTCAAAGTTCCGCGTGCCAATGAAAATGCATGGACTTGATGTCGAGGGTTGTATCGCATAATGTAGTTGTCTCTATCGTTGTCGGCTTTGAGGTTTTCAGAGCCGTGAGCCGTGGGTCATTCCCGATATTGCGATTGAGATCGCAAAGAAGCACGATTGTCACATAGTGTCCCCCTTTTTTTTCGGTCACGACTCACATAACCCTTCCCATCTCCCATCAATATTTTTCCTCTTCCAGGGCTCTTGCAGCTTGGATCTGTTTCTGTTCTTCCTAAAGATCTTATTAAATTACATCTAGGTCGCGAATCATATCAGTAATTCAAGTGCAATCCCTGGTAGTGAGGCAGTCACTCACCATTATTCTTGCTGGGTCGGAGAAAAGGCAGACAGGATAGGTTTGTCCGCAGTCTGTCAAAAAAGCTTTGAGCCCCAAGTAGCAACTCGAAGGGTGCCTCATCCACTACTATGAACCGGCCTCTATCGTGGATTCATATGACGCTTTGATGAAACCATTGCAAGTCGACTTGAAATATTGGTGTAAATCTTGCATTCTTGATGCCATGCACTACAGCTCGGTCACCCGCCGGAATTGGCATAAGGTCGTTGATGGAAAACCCGATACGAGTGAGATATTCACGAGAAACCACACAACCAACTGGCGTACTCCTGGAACAGGCACGACTAGCAGGCAGGTCTAGCAGGTAGAGGGTAACCCGATCGATTGGTTTTGAAAGGCCGTCAACATTCTTGAGAAACAAGGGCGTGGCGCCGAAAAGGTATCGGCTTGTCGCCGGCGTCACGCCCATGCACACATGCGGCGGCGTCAAAAGCTGACCTGACAGTTTGCCGCCGATAACCCCGCAAAGAGGTTCCATTTTGATTTTCGGTTCGTGTTGACCATCCCATGGTGTGATTTTGGCCGCTATCTTCAGACTTGCTCGCTCACTGAGCTGAGCCTATGATTTCTGTCGTCAAGTTCCTTGTATGTCGTCAAGCACATCTTATTGCAGAATTCAATCTATTGTGCCAACATCTTACCAATATGGAAAAGCACTGGAAGGCAATTTCATCACAGTTCGTTTTTAGACGATTGTCATCCAGCAACACTTCGAGCCAATGCTTACAATCCGATGATGTTTGCGATGAACAAATGATACGGCTTATGGACGAACATGACGAAGTCCCCCCTGCAAATCACAAGAATTCTCCATCGTCACGCCTGTTTGCGTTCTCTCTGCCCTTACTAGCAACGGTTGTCACTGTACTTCTTGCTATCACTGGGGTTGTCGAACACGCCATTTGCAGGACAATCCTGAGCGACACACATCACAAGAGGGGCCCAAAGGTCATGATAAAGCCCTGCGGCAACACGCCTCAAGAAGCCAGGAAAAACGGCTGCCACTTCGACGTCATATCCTTTTGCTGGCTCCCAACTCAATGTTACGATGCAGAACTGTCGCGCGAATTCGACGAAGCCAATCACATGGAATGGTTCCTCGACCCCAACCGCACTGAGCCCCTGACCCACGAGCAAATTATGACGGGGGAGTATACAGGGCTCTACGTCAACTGGGAGTATCACGTGCGACACTGCACGGCAATGTGGAAGAAGATGCACCGCGCCATCATACTCGGAAACAGACACGGGGTCAAAGCGATTGACGGATACATAGGAGCGTACGAGCACACGAAGCACTGCGAGCACATGTTGTTGGCGGGGAGGAACATTGCACCCGATATCATAAACACTCGGATTGCCGTGAAATACCCCGACTGTGGCGTCTGAGAAGTAGCCAAATTTATCCTTTTTGGGTTCACCGGAGACACAATTGAGCAGGCATTGCAATCGGTATGACCCTGGCCTGAACGGCTAATGCACAAATGCAATTTCATGTATCATGCGATCTGAGCAGTTACTTAGGAAGTTATGTTTATAGTGAAGGACAAAGTGGCAGAAGATTGAAATCGCTCGTGCAGAGCGCAGAGCGGCTGGAAAGCATGGTTGATCTGTACCTATATCAAATGGACAAGACCACTTGAAGGAAATGAACTGTAGAAAAAAGCGAACCATCTGACTAATGCATATTTGACCGCGCATCGATTGACGTGGTCAGTTCGAGTTCATTCTGTAAAGCTCAGCAAACGGACCGTCTCCCGCAATCAGTGAAGATGGCTCTCCAGTCTCCAAGACTTCGCCGTCACCAAGAAGGACCACTGCGTCGTATCGCGAGACGTGCTTGAGCCTGTGCATAACAGCCAAAACAGTGCAGTCGCGGAACTCAGTGTCAACAACATCCTGCATAACCGCCTCGGTCTCGCTATCAACACTGGGTAACGACAATGTCAGCGTGAACTTCATACTGAGGACGAGCTTTTCACGAATACTTACCTGCTCATGGCCTCGTCCAGAATTAAAACTTTGCATTGCCGAAGGATAGCCCTAGCCATGCAGAGGAGCTGCTTCTGACCGGCCGACCAAGCTTTATCGTCCATCTCTACGTTCAGGCCGCCTTGCTCGTGAACATGTCTCGAAAGGCCAACTCTGTCGAGAGCTTGGATGATCCTTGCGTCGTCGTCGTCGTCGGAAACGGCGCTCAGCGGATCAACGTTGAATCGGATTGTTCCCGGCATGAGAAAAGGATCTTGGGAAACAACGTTGATGCAAGAACGAAGCTCCGATGGCACGAGAGTCGATAGGTCGACGTCATCAATCTCAATCTTGCCTTCTCTTACATCTGTCATCTGTAGTAGGCTGAGGATAAGCGACGTCTTGCCGCTGCCTGAGCGACCACAGATGGCAACGTGGTCCCCGGCCTTCGCCGAAAGCGATACTCCCTTGAGTATGGTTTCGGCGTCAGGACTGGCGTAACGTTAGTTCCGAGACCGAAAGAGATGGGGAAGACACTTGAACACTCACCCATAAGACGCCACAACGTTGGAGAAGTTGACAGCCCCGCTATAGGGCCAGTCCCGAGATAACCGTCCCTTGCCAGCACTGTGTTCCGTTTCGGTCTCTGCTACAGCGCTGCTACCTAATCAAGCTAAATCAATCAAATCAATCAATCAGCTAATCAAAACGAGGCTTTTTTTAGAGTTAATTAGCTAAACTTATAATACCCTCAGTTTAACTATCTTAATTAAACTAATATTACTTAGAAGAATAAAAATCTAGCTTCTAAACTAATTAGAATTTTTAAAAGATTTAATAAAAAAATAAAAAAGTTAACTAGATATTTTTTTTTAGTAGCTTAAGGTTATAACTTTTTAAGCTTTTATACTATAGTTAATAACTTAAGCTAGTTTTAAACTAATATCTCTATAATTCCTTATATAGTAGACTTATTACTAACCTATTAGGTCTTATTATAATATATCTCTAAAAAAAAAAAAGGTAAGTAGTTAATAATATTAGTTTAGTGATACCTTTATGCTAATAAGTAGTAGAGTAGGGCTAAGTATTTCTTAGTAGTATTAGCTTTACTATTAGGAAGTATTAGAAGTACTAGAAATATACTTTTTGCTATACTGCTTAATTAATATGTTTTTAGCTTTTTTATTAAGGGTTGAAAAAAGCCTATTTTTAACCTCTTTATTAGCCCTTAAAAATAACCTTTTTTAATATTACTATTAGCGCTATTATTACTGCTATTATTACTGCTATGCTTTAAAGCCCTACCTCTATATACTTCTAAACGCCTTTTTTAACCCCTCTCTTATTATTATAATACTTCTACTAATATATAACTAATATATTAATCACTTTATTAGCTATAAGGTGACTCTTTAAGGGATTACTACTTAGATTTAAGCTTTTTTAATTATTAGTAATATATTAACTACTAACCTTAATAAGTGTGCTACTCTTAAGGCTTTACTTTATACTATCTAGAAGGAGTAGTACTATATTAATATAAAAGCTATCTTAAGGAAGAGTAGTTAAAGCTATACTTTTTAGATTAGGAATAAAGGTATTTTTATCTATAAGATCTTCTTAAGTAGTATTAGAGGTATATTTATTACTTACTTACTTTCTGCTATACTTTTTTATATATTAATAATATATCTAAGTAATATTTATTAGGTTTATTAATATTGCGATAAAGCTAGTACTTTTAGAGACCTATAGAAGGCTGCTGCTATATCTAGTGCTAAGAAGTACCTTAAATCTACTTATTATATCTATAAAGAATGCTTTTACGCTAAGTATCTATTTAGTGATAATTCTAGAGATAATAGGTATCTCCTTAAACACTAATGCTCTACCTTTATTATTATACTTTATAGTAGAGTCTCTTAGATTAAAGAGCTAGCTATTAGCTTTCTTATTAATACTAGTAACTTTTTCTTAACGTTTAGTAATTAGTATATATAGTATTTACTTAGTCTTTTTAATTATAATATTTATAACTAAGTGTGTTAGTTAAGGGACTCTTAGAAAGCTTAACTATATTACCTTTATATCTCTAAAAAGGAATAAATTAGAAGTAAGATATAGAAAATACTTATAAAGGTTTATATATTATTTAATCTATAGATCTCCCTTAATTAATATGCTATTATTGCTATATTTAGCTACTTTATTAACTAATTAAGGAAATAAACTTAATACTTATTAGCTTTCTACTACTAGCTTAATGCTTACTCTAGTGAGAATGTTATTATAACTATTTATATTACTCTTATAGATTGAGGCCTTATTAATTAAGTTAGCGTTATTATGTTTAATAACATTATAAATAATAATACTTACCTTAAAGCTCTCTTTCCTTCTCTATTATCTTTATATATAGAAATTAACACTTAGTAATATTAAATTTAATATTATAGCTATATCCTTAACCTTATTAGTTATACTATTATTTATAGTATTAATAATAAGGTGTTTAAGGAGGAGTCTAACTATCTACTTAATATTAGTAAAGTTTGAAATAACCTAGCTTACTAGAGGTAGAGAGGCTTTATTAGTAAGCTTTAGAATATTATTAAATATATTAGATTATTACTATAATAATCTAAAAGCTTTTTAGCTATTAGTAATAAGGCTGTTAATAATAATACTAACTTTACTTTATAGGAAGAGTTATCCTAAGAGCTAAATCTAATATTAAGTAATACTACTTAATAGAACTTAATATATAATATGATTAAGTAAGCCCTATTTAAATATAGCTAGATTAATAGTTATATCTTTTATACTTTAGGTTTTCTTAATAATATAGATTATATCTTAAGTGAGGATATTTTCACTAATAAAAACTAATAGGTTTTTATAAAGTTATATAAAATATTTAAGCTGCTCTATAAGTAGACTAAGAGATATAAAGGCTAAGGTAAAAGTAATAAGTATAGCTAACTCTAAGAGGTTTTAGTAGATATAAAGTATCTCTTAGATTATCTTAAAGATTAGTATAAGCTTTTTAATACCTCTATTAATATTAAGATTAATTATATAGCTACTTAACTTATTAAGAATTAGTTATAATAACTATCTTAACTTATAAAGGTATCTTAATACTTTTAGTGAAACTTAATAGTAGTCTTATAATCCTTATTAATTAATAGTATTCCTACTTATTTATAGCTTAAGTACTTATAGTTATAATACCTCTAAGGTGTTAACTTTAACTCTTATAGATATTTATACTTATTAATTATTAATAGCTAGTAAGTACTTAATAAATATTATATTAAGCTTATAGAATCTCCCCTCTATATTACTATAGTAATTCTATATTTTAGGTAGGGTCTATAATAGCTTTAGAAGTATTAGAACACCTTAGAAACTTATATATAAGTATATAATATTTAAGAAGGACTTTATAAGTATTAATAATAATAGTATACTAATATATCTAATTAGGCTAATCTATAACCTTATCTATAGCTTCTATAAACTATATTTATATTAATTATTATTACTTTAAGGGCTAAGGACTCTAAATATTATTAATAGTTAGTTAGTAAGGCTTATAATACTACTATTAATGATTTTAATAAGCTAGAGTAATACTTCTATCTCTCTATTACTTAGCTTATTAATAACCTTATTTAATAGTAGATTTTATATTAATAGACCTTCTTAACGCTTAATAAACTTACCTTTAATATCTTTATTATCTTAGTAATAGTAACTAACTATAAGAGGGTATTTAGCCTTATTAAACTTCTACTAATATTATAGAAGCTATTAATAATACTTTTAACGCTTAAGTAGACCTAATACTTCTAGAATTAGGTTTAAGGTAGTATTATTACTATAAGTAGCTATTACTTTAAGTAGAGGGGCTAAGAAAGGTTAGATAGCCTTAGATTATTATATAATATGCGTTTTAACTTTCTAAGAATATTATGAGAGGTATTACTAATTTCTTATTTAGGTAATTGTATTTAAGACTAATTAAAACAGTTAATTCAAATAAGACTATTATAATCGTTAAGTTAATTAGTCAAATTTGACCCTCAGATTTAGCTTAATTGATTGGTTAGCAGCGCTGCTCTGCTACGAACCGTCTAACTCTTGCAACAGCCCCCACACTAGACTCAAGCTTGGTCCAACTCTGGATCAGGCGCGCTAATACCTCACTGAATCCAATGACCATAACAAGACTGACACCAACGCTTCCAGCACTAAATTTATCATACCAAGTGACGACTACACCCACGAGGACGATAGCAAGCACAGCCACAACTAGGTTAAGAACAACCGTAAGCCACGCTTGAATACAGCTTTGAACATAGCTTGGTTTTTGGGACAAGTCAATGCGGTGATAGTTACGTTCCTGGTACTGGGTTTGCCACCCAAAAGCACGAATAGTCACACTTCCAGCCACGGATTCAGAGAAGCAGGTGTAGAGGGGCGCCTTGGCTTCGATCCCCAGAAGACGAATCTGGCGAGACGTCTGAAGGTAGAAGCGTTGCAGAAAATAGACGACGGTGGCGATGAAAGGGAGGGCAATGCCGAGAAATTGGGAGAAGACGGCGAGAATAACGAGCTTAGCCAAGACGGATATGGCCGCTGCGAAAAGCTGTGAGCAACATCGTTTATTCATGTGGATGAAATACTCACTGGAAGTGTAGTTCACCAGGTTGGACGGCAGATCCATGTCCAGAAGCTGCATGTCTTCACTGAACCTGTGAACGGCCACAAATCAGCATCTCGTTGCAATGGAAATTAACCCAATGTGACTCACCTATTAAGAATCTCGCCATTGTCGGTTGTGGTCAGAAAACGGAAGGATGCTCTGTCCCGCGAGAAGAGTGCGATTAGTGCTGTCCCACATACAATATAATGCGGTACAAATGAACTCACGCCAAGGTAGTCTTGAGAAGGTCCGAGTGCAGCTTGAGAGCCGTATTGGTGATGATGTCGAGGAATGCAAACCAGGCAGCCAAAGAAGCTCCCAGAGTGCCAAGGACACCAAACACGGCGTACATGCCCAAATAATACCCCACACTCGTGTTAGCCTTGGCGGAATTGGCTTCCGACCACCACTTGACCCAAACGGCTAGTTGTCACATGAAATTGTTAGCGGCAGTTGCCAATTTCCCCCTATATTGCAGTGCGAAGGTTTTGACTTACTAGAGAACTCTGAGAAGAAGATCCACATGACGACTGAAAATGAGTAGAGGGTCACTGCCTTCCAGCCGGCATTCTTCAAGTAGTATGTGTAGACTGCCTTCTCCCCATTCTTGCGTCGGATATCAGTATGAGGCCTTTGTTCTTGGTGGTTCTCGTTCTCGTTGGTTGGCGTGGCTATCTGCCCAATGGGAGTCACAGAATCATCAGACGCCTGTGCATTCACACTTTCAGATGACAACTTCAGCCCTAGCTTGCTCGTATAGCCTTGACCTCGCACGAGAACTGCGGGGTTGCCGAGTTCTTGAATCCTGCCATCATCGAGGCTGATGATGAAGTCGGCGAGGGCCATTAGTTCATCTGCATTCTCATTAGGAAGCCCATTTCGATGTCACAATGTGAAGCCAAGACTCACGACTATGCGTTGCGATGACGATCGCTGCGCGTTGCCTTCGCAGGAGACCATCAGTGCCAAGCAGACAGGTCGAGACATGCTTAGCCGTGTGGGCATCCATGCCACTGAAAACATCGTCAAGGACAACGATCTTCTGCCTCGAGTAGACGGCTCGAGCAAGAGCCTTAAGGGAGACAAAGATGAGATATTAACGAAAGTTCAACGTTCAAGACACATTTTCGGTCACTTACGATGCGTTGCTTCTGGCCGCCGCTTAGATTGACACCGTTGCTACCAACGTGTGTGTAGTCTCCCTTCTGCAATGCTTGTAAATCGATTTCGAGACCGCAGGCTGAGATAACGGCATTGTACCACTTCGGGTCGTAGAGTGAAACGCCGAGTACGTTTTGCCGAACAGTTCCGTTCTCAAGCCATGGGCTCTGTGAGCAATATGCCACACCACCTTTGTCAGGAGGGTTTCCAACGGCTGGACCGGCAATAAGAGGAGACATGGGTATCAACTCGCCCAGTATTGCGCGAAGGAAGGATGATTTGCCGCTTCCCACGGGACCGATAACAACAGTCACCGCGTTTTGAGGGATGTCAACGGTAAGGTCGTGAAGCACAGCCTGATCTTTCTTCCATCCAAAGCTATCCCCTCTGAAGGAGACGGCAAACCGCTGTGGTGAGTCCGCAAACTTGCTATCGCCCTCGTTTGTCAATGGAACGAGATGAATATCGGTTGGAGACGGCGAGGTGAAGGTGCTACTCTGGCTATCGAGAGTTGCCGGTCGGGGACCGTAGGTGCAAAAGTCTTGGATGCGGTCGAAGCATGCAAACGACTGGACAATCATTGGCAGTAGCTGTATGAACATGACAACGGGCGTGGTCAAGAGTCCAATCAATGCGATGGAAGCAAAGGCCTGGGCGGGTAAAAGAGATTCGTTCTTCCAGAAGACTGAGATAATGACATAGACGGCAAAGGTAACAATAGGAGCAAGATTAATGGGGGTGAGCGCTGGGGTTGCCCGTCAGGAACTAGACATTTTCATCGTCGCCGAAGACAAGAGACTTACAGAGCAACAGAGTGGCCACAAGCAGCTTCCGAAAAGACTTTGAGGTGTTGATCTCGTCAGTCCGCAGTCTCTGAATCATTGTCGACATAACATCTGTAAGCCCGAGCATCTTTGCAGCCTTCATCTCACCAAGCACTGTCGTTGTGACACGAAGACGTTCCTGGATCTTCTCGATCCACCGCATCTGAGCTGTTCTGCTGGCAACAGAGATCTTGGACATTATAGCGATGAAGACTGCGAGATAGTCTGGTTAGCGAACTCCATACAATATTTGCCGCGCATCACATACCCAATACAAGGACTATCGGGGCTAGGCAGGCGAGGGACAGCTGCAGTCCTAGAAGCCAGCTCGCAACAGCAATATCAAGTAGCGAACCCCACGTCGTATGAAACATAGACATGGCGCCAAAGATACGTTCAACATCTGTCCCCATCAGGGCTACTGCCGTGATATCCCCAGTATCGACGTCTCTTGTGTAGACAGCTTGTTGGTAGACAAGCGCGATTAACCCTCCCCGAAGCCTAGTTGTAAAGCGAAGGTTATGGTACTGGTAAACCGAGTTGCTAATCGCGATGCCCAGGTACACCAAAGCCCAGGCCCCAATAAGGCCTCTGCCGTAGCTGACGTCTGGGTTACCGTTACTCACAAAAGTTACGGTCGATTTTATGAGGAATGGTTGCGCGAATGTAAAGACTGTGAGGCAGAGCCGGGGAATAACAGGAGCCAGGAAGGGCAAAAGATACGCCCTGAAGCAAGCTTTAAGGAGACTATGGCGACTTTGGTGGTCGTCTGACAAAGCCATGAGGTTAGCAAGGGGGCTGCAGACTTCGTTAGGAACACACCGGCGTAAAAGACGTACGTTTGTCCCACGCAACAACCAGACTTTGGTGAAGAACGCGACTCTCCATATTCGAATCGAGCCCTGGTAAGTCGTTGAGGGATATAACTTTGGAATACCCCAAGTAGAAAGTTGTCGCCAACCACGCAAAGCAAGTCCTCGACCAGAACCCGCTGCTCTGCTCGGGAGTTGCATGTTTGCCGTCGGGAGGGGCACCAGGCGCGGCAAGTCTCTTCTTCGCCTCGATAGATTCTAGCACGAGCACCACCAGTGTGAAAACCAACACGACTGTGGCGATGGCTGGCAAAGGGCCGCGTACAGAGATAAGCCACAGTGTACGGACACGGGCAATTCCAAGTATGATGGATGCCGAGAGATAAAGGCTGATGAGGGTCGAGGGTCGAGGCGATCTTTGATGGTTTAGGACAGACAGAAGCAAGACGGCAAGCGTGGCGACGGGAGTCAGAACATCAGCGGCGATGGACGCAGGAGTTTGGGATGCTGAGGTCTGGCAGCGCAAAGCCAGGAAGGTCCACTGAAAGGCGAGAAGTGTTATTGTGGCCACCTTGCAATGGGAGTTAGTCAAAGACAAATTGACGGCGAGACACATTGACGGCGGTTTTCGATTGTGCGGCTGGACATACCAACTTGCTGGCCAAGAGCCTGGACTGAGTCTGGAAAGTAACTGGCTGTCGAAGCAGCTGGACAACTCTCGGTGGGACAAGCAGAAGAAAGAATGCACATGGCAAGCATGCGAAAATGATATCTTCAAACTGTAGAGTGAAGTCAAAAGAGCGGCAACCTGTAAGAACCCCACCCAAGCTATGGATCACCCCCCACCTCGGATCAGCCTAAAAACGCGTCTTCTGTATGCTTCATATTATGTATTATCCTAGTTAACACTACTTTTTTAACGCTATAATATATAAAATAAATTCTTTTAAAAATACTAATATATATCTTATACTTTTATATACCCCTACTAATATTACTATAGTAATTATAGCTATACGTAATAGCTACCCTCTCTAAAAAGCTACTAAAAACTAAAGTATACTATATATAACTTTATAATAATATATTAATAGTAGTAAGATAATAATAGAAGTAAAAGCTACTTAGTAACACTTTAGCCTTAAGTAGGAAGCCTTTTTAACTACTTAGATCCTTATATAGAGTACTTTAAGCTATATATTTAGCTATAGGTATATCTATCTCTTTATAATATAGATTATATATATTAATAGTAATATATATCCCCTTAGTATACACTAAATAGAGGCTTTTTTATATTACTACTTATCTATTAAAACTCTAAAAATATATAAGATTAATACCTAATATATAAAAGATATTATAGTTAAAGATATAAAGAAGTTCTTTATAATATTTAATCTTCTAAAGGTTAAAATTATCTTTATAAACTTATAATATAATATAAATAAGATAGGTGTTATAGAGGAGGCTTAGTATAATAATTTAGTATTAAGATATTCTAAGAAACCTTCTATATTTATTTAGAACTCTAATAACTATATTTAGATATCTATAGTTAAATATATTAGTATTAATAGTAGTTATCTCTTACTTTTAGTTATTTTTAAAAGTAAGATAGTTTAGTACTAATAGTTCCTTAAAGATCTCTTAGAATTTAATTTATAGTATTTTATATTAACTATAAATAGTTAGACGTTTAATAATATTAATATTAACTAGCTAGAGAATATATTTATACTAAAAATAGTAATAGAGGTAAAGAAATTATATTCTAAGTATCTACTTATTATAAATAGCTATAAAAGCTATATTAGTAATAACTTTATATAGAAATATTATATTAATAATATTTATTTAACTTATCTATTTACTTATTTATCTTATATTATATAGCTCCTTAATATATTAATATTTATACCTCTAAAGTAATCCTATAGGACTTATTTTATAAAATAGAACTACTTACTTAACTTTATACTAATTAGTAAGTAGAACTTCTTATAATACTATTTATATATATATTAAGATACTTTATAACTATATATTATTAAATTAAGATAAAAAGTAATAAAGATATAGCTTATTAATATTATAAAGCCTCTTATAAGCTAGTTTATCTATATCCCTACTCTAACTAACGTTTTATAAGCGCTAATATAATATTTAAGACTTATAAATAATAAATAAACCCCTTAAAATATTATAATTAAAATACTAAAAAACTCAGCTAATTTATACTAGATATAATAGCTTTTTAGTAATAGGTTAAGGTTAATAGTATAAGGAGATTATCCTATTAACCTTATAGTATAGATCCTCTTCTTTAAGAAGTTAGGGAAAACTTTAAACCTTAATAATATAGCTATAGTAAATAACTAATAAGTTATCTAATTTCTAGAAGCTTAGTTAGAGAAATATAAGCTTATTAAACGTAGTAAAGTTAAGCTAAAGCTAAATATATATTTTATAGTAATTAAAGATATTTAGAAGAAGAAATAAGAGGTATAAAACTATCTTACTAAGTTAGAAATAGTATTAATTAATAGTAAATCTTCTAATAATAAAGAGAGTATAAAATTATATATTATTATTGCGAAACTATAGAGAAATTATATAGAATATAAAAATATAATTATAGTATTAGCAGGTCAAAAGCATGCAAAAGTAGTGATCTAAGGTGGGGGGTGATCTATAGCTTAGGTGGGGTTCTTATGGACTTACAGCCCAGACGTCCAGTCGCTGAAGTTCGGACAGACCATATTGATGATTCGTAAGATCAATAGCCCGCATACATCAGAACTTCTTTCCCAGAGGCTAAAGCTTAGTAGGCACTAAGAAGAAAATGAAAGGAAGTTCATGACGAGAAGTTCGGGAATATGTCGAAATGTTGTTAGAACAGAGACGTTGGCCAGCGACGCGTGTGTGGTGTGCCTGCGTGCTTCAGACCCTGGGGATCACTATCAGCGTTATACGGGGGCAACGGCAACGTCGCGTTCAGCGTGCCGCCTGGTGTGCGACATGCTGATACATAGGTCCAGACCCTGCAGCTTCTAACCTACTTCGGTAAGTATGTCCGTCTTAGGTCGGGCTGCACGTGCACAAGTCGGCCAGTCTTCCATATTTAGTGGTTTGTAGACAAGGGAGGCTGTATTAAATTGTGTGAAGTGGCTTGATTAATCTAGCTATAAGCGCTAGGCGTAGCTAGTTATAAAGTGGTATAGCTAATCCCTTATATAAAGGTAGGATTTAAGCTAAGATTTAAGCCTTAAGCCTAAGCCTAGCTAACTACTATCTCACACCCCCTTTTTAGCTAACGCTTTTAGTACTCTAAGTAAAGCTATTCCTATCCTAAAGTAATAATCTAATTAATTATATAGTAGTTTTATATTATTCTTATTTCTATATATTATTCTTACCTTTCTATATTACTATTATTATCCTATCTTAACTTTAAAACACTTCTTAACCTTTTCTATCCTTTATATAGCTAATTAATATTATAACTACTATTTAAGTTATCTCTATAAAGATAATTAGATAGCTATTTAGTATAATTAGTATTACTTTTTATTTTTAACTTAAGTTAAGTTTCTAAATTAGTAACTTAGAGGTTTATTATTTAAAACCTCCTTATAAAGTTAATTTTTAACTTAAATAAGTCTAAAAACTATCCTCTTTAGTTTAATCTTAGATCTTATATTTTAAGTAGCTCTCTCTCTCTAAAAGTAGTAATTTTTAAATTATTAATTAGCTTTATAATATCTCTCTTCTAATTTACTAATTATATTAGGTTAAGTATTAAATATAATAATTCTTAATTAATATTACTTTAAAGATTAATCTTCTTATAATACTTTTAAAGCTTAGTTAATTAATTTTTTACTTTTTTAAACTTTAAACTTATATTAATTTTATCTAAATCTAAAGTTAATTAACTTTTACTAGTTAAACTTAATATAGTTATAACTTAGAGAAATACTAATTAAGATATCTAACTTAGTAATAAACTTATAACTTAGTAAAATTATAGTCTTTAATTACTTTTTAAGCCTTTATTATTAAATAACTTCTTATATAAAAGACTTTTATAATTAGTAATTTAACTATTAAATAGAGTAAATTAAGGTAATTAAAATAATATAAAATCTAACTATAAAAGTTAATTAGTTAGTAAGATATAAGGGAATAAAGTTATTATATATAAAAGAAATAAATAAATAAAAGGGACTTAATTAAGATTAAGTCTTAAGATATTATCCTTAGATTAAAACTTATTATTAGTTATAAGTAGTTTAAATAAACTTAATATTTTAATAAAGTTATAATACTTCTCTATTACTAATAGTTTAATAAAGCTATTAGTAACTATTTTATAAGTTAAAATATAGTTAATTTTAAAATCCTTATTACTAACGTTATTAATAATTTAGTAATACTTAATCTTAATATAGCGTAGTTTAAGTAACTATTTATTTAATAAATAATTATTAAAGGTATTTATAGAATCTATATATACCTAGAGGGGTAATTAAATAGAGATATTCATCCTTTTAAAGAGATCTATAATATATAGTAGAGCCTTCCCTCTAAGTATTAGATTTATCTACTTAGCTTTATAAGTTAATATAGCTATAAATAATTATAATACTAATTTCTAGGTAATTAGTACTCTTCTATATATAACTATATAACTAGCTATTAACTTACCTATTCTTTTATAATTAAACCAGCTAGTATTATAAAATACTAATAATTTAAGGTTATTAATAGAGTATCTTAAACTACTAAAATAGAGTATTAGTTATTATAAACTATAAAGATATCTCTATATTAATCTTAATAATTTATTATACTTTTTAGAAGTATATTATTAATCTTTAGTAGCCCTACTTATAGGTATTATAATATCTAGTTATATACTATTTATAATTTATTATAACTTACCTAGATTACTTTAATATTTATATATTTTAATAAGCGTTTTATATTATTCTATAATCTCTAGTAGCTAAGTATTACTAAGGTAGTAAGGTATTTAGTTATATCTAGTAATACCCTTCTCTATTAGTATATTATTAATATATTTAGCTTATAAGATCTAAAGTTATCTTATCTTATAGTAGTAAATAATCTTAAACCTAAGGAATTATTATACCTTACTTAAATCCTTAATCTAAAAGAAGTTATATAAGTTATTTTTAAAGTTATTAACTTACTTAATATTAAGTATTATAATAAGTATATTATTAATATAAAGTAATACTATAATACTATCTTTATTAATAAGAATATAAGGTTCTTTTAGTAGTAGATAGAACCCTAATTATTTAAGGATAGTAATAATTTATTTATATTAAAGAAGAGGAGATTCTCTTAGTCTATAAAAAGCTCTTTTTAATCTATAGAACTAGCTAGATCTATTATTAAACCTATAAAGTTAAATAATAAAGATATCTTAATCTCTTATAAAAGTATTTAAGAAAGCTATAACTATATTAACCTAATGAAATTCTAGATCTTTAAGTACTATAATTAGTAAAAAAACTTATAAAGTAATAAGATTAATAATAATAATATAAACTATTTTATTATCCTTATTTTAAAAGTTATTATAAATAACTTATTTTACTCTAACTCTATTAAGTCTTCTATTTATAGTAACTTTCTTATTATATACTTATTTGCTTAAGAGATATTTAAAGCTATTTAAAAGCTCTTTAAGCTACTAGTAATCTATTCCCTATAAGCTATTAACCTAAGTTTTTATAGTATTAAAAATAGCTAATTTTAGAGGTCCTTCTTCTATTACTTCTTATTTCCTAAAAGTTATAAATAAGTAAATCTCTAAGTTAAAGATTTATAATAAGTTAAATACTAAGAAAGTAAAAGTAATTAGTTCTTAGTTTATTTTATTATTAATTAAGTTAATCTCTATAGCCTCTATTTTACTAAATTCCCTATTAAACTTCTTTATATTATATAGTACCTAGGTTCTAAGTATCTAAGTTATTTAACTAAAAGAAGAAGTAGTTATTCTTAGTAATCTTATAAAGGTAGAACTTCTATTACTACCCCTTAATTTTCTCCTTAGTTTTCTTTATATTAAGAGAGAAATTTAGAGTAAAATATTAAGAGAGCCTTACTATTATAAAGTATTAGCTAGTAATTATTATCTCTAAGGAGTAGCTAAAAATCTCTACTTTAAAGGAGTAGTAAGAGAATATTACTTTAGAAGAGTAGTAAGAGAATATTATTATAAAGAAGAAACTTCTTTTAGTATTAATTATACCTATATATTTATAATACTAATATTTAAGACTAATAAGTATAGTTCTAAATCTAAAGTTAGTAAACTACCTCTCTTACTATTAACTTCTTCTTATTCTTAAAGAGGCTTATTTTCTTATTCTTATTTATTATTACTCTCTAAATCTTAAGCTTTTTTTAAGTATAAATTACTTAATTCCTCTTATTATTAATCTTATTTAGTAGAATAATAATAATAATAAGACCTAATATCTATAGTATAAAGCTAATACTTAGCTTTATATATTACTATTAGTAATTTATTACTATACTTATAAGTCTTTAGTTTAACTTCTTCTTTTAGCTATAAGTTATTAAATTTAACTAAGAGAAGCTCTCTTTTATCTTCTTTAAATATTATATCCCTCACTTACTAAATACTATTAGTTCTTTTAATAAAAATATAGAAAATATTACTATAAAAGCTATTATATCCTATAAATCTTCTAAGTTTAGCTTTAAACTTTATCTTCTACCCCTTTATATATAGATAGCTATCTAAGTGAATATAGATATAAGCTTAGTAGTTTTAGTAGTAGAGGTAGTATATATATAGTTTTCTTATAGTAAGAGATATATTAAGGGTATTTATTAGTTTCTTATAAGGACTAATATTACTCTTATTATTAGATAGTAGATTTCTAACTTCTATAGAAATCTTTATTAACTAAAGCTAAAAAGACTTAAAAAGACTAACTTCTATATATATTACTTATACTTTTTACTATATAGCCTTACTAAAGCCTTCTACTTTCTTATTTTATTAATAAGAGTAAGAGGCTACTATCTCTAAATAGAAACCTTATTCTTAAGTAAAAAGTTCTATTACTTTAAGAAAAGCTATATTATTATCTATAATAACTTTAGAGAAGTAAATAATACTATTTATTACTATAATCTTTTTTAGAAACTAACTTTATAGCTAAATAGCTACTTCTTTCTTTAATTTAAATACTTAAAACTATCTATAAATTAAAAAAGCTTTTATAATATAGAGACTATAAGTAATACCTCTAAAACCTTATAATATTAGTTCTAAGAAGTTAATCTAAAGCTTTTAGAAAGCTTAAGTTAGTAGTTCTTATTATCTATTACTAAGTTACTATATTAACTTTATTATAAAGTAGATATAATATTTATATCCTATAAGAAGTACTTTAAAGAAGTTTATATTAATATCTCTTATAGTAGTAATAATTACCTCTCTAGATAGATACCCTAAATAAATATAAAAAGTTTAATAATCTAGCTTAAAAGAGCTAAATTTATTATTCTAGTTAGAGGGATAGATTTAAAACTAAAGGACTTATATATCTTATTTAAAATTAATAATAGCTTTAGATATATCTTTATAAACTAAGGTATTATTTAGACTATTAAAATAGATATTTATCTTTTAAAGAAAACTAATATTAATAATTTATACTATATTATAAGGTTTATAAAAGGTACTATATAATTAGAAAGTAGTCTTTTTACTACCT